AAATTGTCAGTGAAAATAAAAATCCATCATCAAGGTAAAGTAATTACTGCATTTGGTAATATGTGGTACTGGTGAAAGCATTTGGCAGGCATACTGGAGCCTCAGATGCTACTGTACATATCTGTAGGGCCTATGCTTGTCATAAAAGAAGTTGTATTCAAATTCTTTCTTCTGCTTTTATATTATGTCTGTATGCCTGTCTGTTACATTCTTTTGTGTTATATATTTTAAATGCAAGAATAGATCACATTTTTTGTGAGATCTGATTGTTTTGCGATCAAGTGACGATGCCTGTTCTAGTAACATATGGATCTTCATTTACAATGCAGAGATTATCTTTGAAAATTGATAATGTGAGCCTAATAAATATTTTCAGATAATTTACATTTTTGGATTGTGTAATGCGTGGTTTCAAATACACGTTAATAATGATATTCTCCTATGTTTTGTGTATAATGCATCCCTTAGAGATTCTGAGTTTGAAGATAAAAAATAAACTTTATTATATGAATTACCATTATCATTGTTGATCATTCAATTACTTTAATAAAAAATATAGGTATTTAATTGTTTAATTAATGTTTATTATAGTTTAATTTCCAATTAATGATAATAGAATTATTGAAATTAATATTTTATAATTATAATACAAATTGTAAGTCAATCGTGATGTCATCACTGTAACTCCCAATGTTATTTTCCTATTCCCAACCATGCACTAATTTTTCATTAGTGTATGGTTTGCTTGATCTTTATTTTTTTATCCCTTCGCGTTTTTTTGCCTTTGTTTCTTGAGGCTTCAAAAGCGCCTTGAGACGGTTTTCTGTGGAAGGCACTATATAAATATATGACCATTGACCATCTTTTTTAGGTTTGTGTGCAAAAGACCAATTCATCTTGTACATATTGCGCACCTAGGCTGTTGTTTTTACACAACACTACAAAGCGCGCCGTTTGATGACAAGTAGTAATTGGAAAGTGACATTCGTAAAATAAGGTATATTAGAACCCAAAGAAAGTCACTTCAAATTCAATATTATGTATGAAAAATTAAGGAATTTTTTGGATAAATAGACTTTAATAAACTAAAGAAACTTAACATTTAATAGGAATATTTGAGGCCTATCTAGACCTTCAAAGATGCAAGGAATGAATTTAGATGTTGGCAGTAGGCCTAGGCCTTGCATAGCCTAGATCAATTCATAAGCCTAGAAGATTAATTCATCACACGATTTTACCTGTCTGCACCGACCAAGAATGTGATTACTGTTTTCTCTCTCATATTCTAGAATGAATTTCTATTTCTTTGATGAATGTCTATGAAAATAGTAAACTCATGATGAGTTCATCAAACACAATCAAATATGTATTCATCGTACTGCTGTGTAAACATACAATTTCCACTGCACTGCTGGCTAGCACGTACTACTGCAGCAACAATCCGCACGCACGGCTACAGTAAATGAATACTTGCACAGTTAGTTTATACTTGCTAACAATTAAAACATGGTGATAAACTTATAAAGCAATTAAAATATTGCTTTTCTATACTGTACATTAGGGGAAATTTAGTATACTTCGGTTAGATTTATGCATTCAAAAAATTCCTTTGGAGGTGCTCATTATTTTTTTCTTGCATTAATCTAACCTTTGTATAATAAATGTCCACTTGGGTATAATATGCAACTATTCTAATTGCTTAGTATTTTATTGATCAATGAAGCTGCATCATTGATGCAAGTTATTCTGAAATACTGTATAAAAGTATTTTCCTCGTACTGTACAGTAAGTGAGTAATTTGGTGTCTTTAATTGATTTTTTTTAGGGTATTTTGCACTTTTGCTTTTATAATTGTATATTATTGTCAAAATATTCATGCATTGGATTTACAAATCACTGCACAAAAGCCAATTGGAAAATGGTGAGCTCATTAAGGATAAATTGTTTTAATGTGTGCCACCAAATAAATATAAAAACGAGATATTCAGCTTTAAAGTGAAATCATTATGAATGTTAGTGATCTTGAGGGAGATCAATTCTGATGGAGTATTTGATGTCTATCTCATGGCCACTGATCATTTGATCCATGTCATGTTTTTTTTCATCATGTGTATTTCTTTTATTGATTTCATGAAGTGAAATGCTTGTCTTATGCTGATAATATTTGTAGATAATGTATGAGATCATACATGCAAATAAAATAAATTTAAATTAATTATCGTTATAATCATGTTCTGCCACCATCCTTTCATTTGCATTGAGATTTATGCACCATGTCAAAATACATTACATTGCTGTACATTAATCAATTCTTTCATAATCTCTGTAATAGATTCATTGCTTACATTATTTACTGAACTAACCTTTTCTAAATCCACATTTTAAATCAATTATATTTTCACTTATAAGCATAGTTATATAAACACATAAATTAGTGAAGAGAAACCAAGAAGGCAGAGCCTTGTTATATTCATCTACCACTGTAAATTAATATTGATAATACTAAGTGGGATTTTGTATAGTGCATAATACAGGCATCTATGTGCTTGAGTGCAAGAAAAAATTATCAATGATTGCCAATACATTTTATATTGTGCTTTAAACCTTTCTGATAAGGTTCATATATTTATATATTCCATGCACTTTGTTCAATTTGTTTATTCAATTTATTGTAATTTAGTTCATTCAGTGTATTTAATTTATTCAATTTAAGTTATACCTGTATATTTTAACTACCCTTCAATTTGGTTATTCCAGATTTGGCCCATGTATTATCTCAAGTTTGTTATGGTCGTCTGGTTCTTAATCATTGAAACAGAATGTAAACACCTTGCTAACAGACTTAGATGTAATATGCTGTGATACAGTTTCATTTCTTAACATTTTTTTCCCTGAGTGTCTTTTAAGCTAAAGATGTTAACTGACACTGCTAATATTTTATCCATCCAATTAGAAACATTCTATTGATAAATTCACCTGAGATGAATGTGATTCTAGGATGACTTAATGTAGGAAAGGCTATCATCAAAGCAATAAGCCTTGTCGTAGTTTCATGTGTGCTTACCTGTGTCATAGGTCAGTACATTTTTCAGATGTTAACTGACACTGCTAATATTTTATCCATCCAATTAGAAACATTCTATTGATAAATTCACCTGAGATGAATGTGGTTCTAGGATGACTTAATGTAGGAAAGGCTATCATCAAAGCAATAAGCCTTGTCGTAGTTTCATGTGTGCTTGCCTATGTCATAGGTCAGTACATTTTTCAGATGTTAGCTGACACTGCTAATATTTTATCCATCCAATTAGAAACATTCTATTGATAAATTCACCTGAGATGAATATGATTCTAGGATGACTTAATGTAGAGAATGCTATCATCAAAGCAATAATAAGCCTTGTCATAGTTTCATGTGTGCAAACCTATGTCATAAGTCAACACATCTTCTACCAAGTCTCATTAAGCTAAAAATGCTAGCTGACACTGCTTATGTTATCCATCCAATTAGAAACATTCTGTTGGTAAATTCTCTTAAGATGAATATGATTCTAGGATGAATTAATGTAGAGAATGATCAAAGCAATAATAAGCCTTGTCATAGTTTCATGTGTGCATGCCTATGTCAGGCCAGTGCATATAGTAACCTGCATTACATGATTGATCTTTTATAGTATTTACAGTAGTAGCCAAATATTAAGACCAATTTAAAAAAATAGTTTATTAATAAACCTCTTGCATCACTCCCTGGATCCGTGACTAAATGTTGTAAATGACTCATAGAGCATTGTTTACGTAACTTGGTGTAAGAATAAGGGAACTTCTTACGATACTCGTGACTAGTTTCAACTGCGGAGTCATTGTGGAAGAGAAAAACATTTTAATGCAAAAATTAATTTACTTATACTGTAGTTTGGAACAAATGTCAATATGTTGATAAAATGATGTGTTAAAAAAAAAAAAATTATGATTTCAATTTTCCTCCAAGAATTGAGTAATTATGATGTGTTAAAAAAAAAATTATGATTTCAATTTTCTTCCCAAGAAATTACAATAAGAAATTCTGGAATCTTCTGCTTAAAAGTATGCATACTGTAAAGTATATAGCGATATTTTGAATGATCGCTCAGAGCTAAGCTTATAATATTCATTACACAAATCTTTATTATCTGAGAAAGGGCTTTTAATATCTTAACTGTGTCTGTTACACTCATTTGTGTTTTACCGTACATATTTGAATGCAAGAAAAGATCACATTTTGTGAGATCTGATTTTTTTTGCGATCAAGTGACGATGCCTGTCTGATCATGACTAGTAAAAAATGGATCTACATTTGCAACGCTAAGAGTGAAGCTTTTTATAGTCCATGTAGACAACCTTGTTATCTGAGAAAGGTCTTATATCCTTAAAACTATTTCAGCTTTATTGATTACTATACATTTCAATATTCCTTGTTCATCTAAGGCAGTAATAGGCTCTTATTCACAAGCATAAATATTCAAGAGTATCAGCGTATATTCATGAATATTCATGAGTATCAGCGTGCTCAAATGACTTTACTTAAATTCCTCCCCATTGGTTAAATTTTTTTTTTTTTGTGGTATTTGTAGTTGGTTCATTGTGGATCTCGTACCACGCCATGCATGCATAATGGTGCAATTATAGACAAAAAAATTTAAACCTATAACATTTGCATTTCATGTAACCACTAGTGGACGGAGATGAACGTAGGTTATAAAGTGCCTTGAATTTTGCATACTTTACTTCTTTTGATTGATTAAGTGGGTGAGTAGGTGAGTAATTGACTGGTTGATTAGTTGGTTGGCTAATTGATAAATTACTTGAGTAATTGATTGGTTGTAGAAATTAAGAATTGGTTAATCTTTAGTTGGTTCACTGATTAATCGATTTAATGTTTGATTTGTGGATGTATAGGTACTACAGAGTACAATTGTATATTCTACTCGTAAGTTTATTGTTTTCCATCTTTTGTTTTACAGACTTCTTGTTTGGAACATCTGGATGTGAGGAACACAGTTTGGTCAGAGCCTAGTATCCAAGCACTTGCACGAGCTGTCAGAAATGACATATCAGTCAACATTATTCATATAGAAAATTGTAACTTGACAGGGCGCCCTCTATTTATTCTAAGTAAGTTCATTTGGATGATTTGGTGCACTGACTTTTTAAAAAAATATACTGTAATAATTATAATATAATTGTAAGATTATAATATAATTGACAGATTTTTCTAAAGCACTATAGTTATCTCCACAACCCAAAATACTCAAGCAGTGTGGTAAGTTAACTGAAAACATGTTTCCAATAAATTAGCTACCAGTTGTCACCCATGAAGATGCCAAACTTTAAAAACAATGATTTATGTAAAAAATACTCAGGATAAAAATGAATTAATGATAATAAATTTGATGAAATGGGAATATGCATAGTATAGAATATTTCTTTCATTTATGGCACCTAATATTCACTACCTTAATGAAAATTAATGTAGAAGATTAGTTAATGAAGATAAAAAATAAATTAGGAGACATAAAAGATAAGTTAGCAAAGGTAACACAGGCAAAGTTAATTATGAGCAGGAATAAATATGAGCTACTGGTACTAGAAATATATTGACAGATACTGTAAATGGTGAGTTTTAAATAAACAAATTATTGAAGATAAAATATTTTATAATAGAGATAAAAATGAGTTTATAAAGGTAAAAGATGAGTTAATAGTGAGGTAAAAGATAAACCATAGTAACAGAGATAAAAGATCTAATAACAGAGTAAAAAAAAAAATTTAATGAAGAAAGGAAATGAGATAAAAGAAAAATTAATATAGATAAATATGAATTAACCGAGTTATAAGATGAATTATTAATGATAAAAGAAGAAATAAAATTGCTAAGACATGAATAATACATATAAATGATGAGTTACTAAAGATAAAAGATGAAATAACAGTGATAAAAGATGTATTAAAAGAGGTAGAATATGCATTAACGGAGATACAATTTGAATTAATGGAAGATGAATTCATGAATATAAAGGAGGAGTTAATGCCAGTAGACTGTAATTGATTAATTATTTAATATTAATATTCAATACACTAATGTCAAGAATATAGTTAATGAAGATAAATGTAGAATGCAAGATGTGCTCCTGTAGATTAATTAGAGTATCAGATTAATTAACAAAGCTTTGAGTAAATACTGAATGAGAATATGAAACGAAGCTTGCTCCCAATGAAGGACTGCATCCTAGCACTATAATAAATTATTCAAATTGCATATCACATCAAGTGTTTAAATGTCAGTTTTGAGACAAAGCCAATAAAATTTACATATGTTTTCACCATATTCTTAACCTATTTAAAAGACATGAATGAATACTTTAGGATGGTGATGCATGTTGTCTGTTTTAATCAAGGTAAGATGAATAATGTATGAAGATTTAACAATGTGTACATTTATTTAATTTTTCATAATAATAATGCAGAAAAAAGGGTACATGTACACTCTGCAGGTGGAAAACGGCGTGAGCAACTCTACCAAGAGATGGATACGTGCGCCTAATAAGATGACATTATTATTATTATTATTATTATTATTATTATTATTATTATGTAAGGTTAGAGTTAAATCTATCCTAGGTATCCATGCTACTAATTTTGTAACTTTCCAGGTGATTGGAAAGATCACCATTAAGTGTCAAGCTCTGCTCTCCAATGTCATTATCACTTTGCATTATATTTATGTTGGTCCTTCCATATAGAACTGATATTGCTTACCAATACTGTTTTACTTCATTTACATTACAGCTACAGTATAAAGATTGTCATCATCAATACCACTTAAAATTCTCTCTTCATTAAAATTTTTTTCATGTGAATGACAATGAATTACTGTATGCCTTGTTTAAAATTGGAATAATGTTCGGTTTAAGATTGGGTCTTTTTTTTCACAGGACCATTCTCAAATTATCTCACTTTTTTGTCTGTGTCATTGGTATTACCTGTAGTATAATAATTGTATTAGTTTAATTGCAAGTGAAAATAAGTGTATGAAATGTAATGAATGCACACTTGAATTATGATGCTTCAATATAATTTTTATATAAAATATAAAAATCAGCAAATTTTTAATTAGTTTTTTTAACAATTAATCTTTGTAGCTTTAGCATTGAAATTGAACCAGACATTACGAGACATCTTCCTTGCTGAGAATCGCTTAGTTGCATCGGATGCCATTCAGCTGGGTAGCATGCTGAAACACAATAAGGGCCTTAAACTCCTCGATCTGCGAAACAATCATCTTCAGGTACGACCAATCAGAACTGGGGTTAATAAACACATTAATATATGACCAATCAGAACCGAGGTTAATAAACACATTAATATACACATTCAATGTAAGACCAACGATGATGGATTTACTGTTCAAATATGAACAGCAATGAAGTATGAAGCATGAACTCCATTTAGTAGGTTTTTATTCAGTCACAAAATTATTGGCTGTCAGCAAGCAAATATTATTTAGGTAAATGTTTTGAAAGTTATAAATTAAATTCCGGTTACATTCATTAAATTTGTGTTATTGTTTTACATGCTATATATTGAATCTTTAAAGAATACTTTACTCTTAAAATATGTTCTAATTAATATAACTAAATATAATTAGAATATATTTTGATTAAATTTTTAAATGAAGACTGGACAATTTCTTCATAAATTTATTTCATACTGTTTATGAAACAAATGGTGAATTTATTATTTATACTATTTATGATTTTTTTTAAAATCTAATATTATTTCATAAAATAAAGGCATTGGCCAAATTAGATGGCAGTGTTAAAATTTTGAGATCCATAGATTAGATTTTAATTGTAATGCCATCCTTCCTCTTTCCTGTCTCTCCGTTCAATCTTAGATCTGAAATAGTGTATAGTGTGAAAATCAGAAAATAGTGTATTAAAAATATTTTGTATTTGTTACTCTACTCGTCTCCCACTAATGGAGAAAATGGGATTGTTTACATCTCTTTCCATTCCACATGTCTTTACATAAGCATGAAAAAAAAAATAAAATAAAATAAGAAATAAATGGACCAAGAAAGTAAGACTTTCTAATCCTAAAGGCATGCTAATCCTACTCATTGAACTATCCATGGTTGGCCGTTGACTCCGAGGAGCTCATATGCCTTTTTTGTTTAGCAATTTTTTATTTTTTTTTATTGCTGCTGGGTGACCATCCACCCTCCAACCCAAAGGCCACTAAGACTGTAGATGGGGTTGCAAGTTAGTCACCGGCGGCTCGAGTGACATCTTAACTACAACTTTAACTATTATCTTAACTACCTAAAACTAGCTTAAACTATTAATCTTCTTCCAAAGTTCTCCACCCAAATTGCATTCTTTCAATTTTTCCATAATTGTTCCCCAGTTTCTTCTTTCTTCACCACAAAATAAACAAACATTTATTTTAGGCAAACCTGTAACTGCTTTACCATTTGATAGGATGTTGGCCTGTCTCATCTCTGTGATGGTTTAGTGGATCAAGAATTTGGACATCTTTCAACACTGGTTCTTTGGAACAACCAAATCACTCATCTTGGAATGCGTCACCTGGCTAAAGCATTGGTTAGTACAAGTAAAAAATAATTGCATGCTTCCTAGATTTAACAAGCATTATGAATCAGTTAGTAAAGCATGTGCATGATGTGTGAGAGGTATTCTGAGTATCCATACAAAATTTCTTCATTGTATAGAAGTGTTTAGAGTGTTAGTGGACATCACTGTATGTGGACTGCAGGGTGGTTTAGAACTTGAAGTCTTTACAGTATGTGTGCCAGGCACCTTTACTATGTAGGAAAAGCCTAGAGTGTGTTAGAAGACTATATAGGTGTGTCAGAGGTTTCCAGAGTATATCAGAAATTTGTCAGAGGTGTTTTCTGGAGTCTTCACAGAGTCATTACACTGTGTTTTTATGTGTAACTTTATAAATATAGTCATGAGAAAGCATTATACCAAAGACATTTCCAAAATGTTTGGAAATTATTGGATTAGTTACTTTATTTTTTGTTGACAACACTTTTATTGAAACTGCGAGTTCAATTTTCATTTTGTGAATGTTTGTATTTAACCAGCCTCAGCTGACCACACTGGAGACCTTGAACTTAGGACAGAACAATATTGGAAACGAAGGTATTCATACTGTGAAGGATGCCCTCATGAAGAACCACTCGCTATTACGGTTAGGATTATACCAGTGTCGGATATCCGATGAAGGTACATTTGTTATACGATTCTTCAGTAAATCACAGAATATTTTTATGAAACAAATTGTGTTTTTTTTTTAATTGGAGACTAAGATTAGGCTTTCTTTCCCAACAATGTAAACAATTTGTCATGCATTCAAAAGGTTTTGCATTTAAGACACTTGCAAATTTAGCACTTTACTTTGAGCTTTGGTAATTAATATTTATAACATGCTAACAACCATCTATAAGATTCAAGATCCTTTAGTTGTGTCCATTTGGAAAATAGGTTGGTAGGCCTACATCAATTGCAAAACAGAGTGCAAGATTAATACAAAATAACAATAACAACTAACCGACTGTACTTGCGATGCAGCCTGAGGGCCATATGCGACACAATGGCAATTTTGTTTTGGCCCGCAAGAATGATAAAAATAATAATAATGTTAGTCTTATAGAGTGCTTAATGCAAAACAATGCTTCTAAGCACTATGGAACTCCCATAATAGTATATTAAAAGTGCTTTGTGTACTGCCCGTCTACTATGTTTGGGTAGAAAAACCCTTGTTACAATCCGACAATGAACATCTGTAATAAGTAAAGCTTGGTTTCCATAAAATCACTACACGCTATCGCTGACAGATTTTGGTGAAGCTGATTGGTCGGTCGAATCGGGGAGCCTTTCCGATTGCATTGGGGACTGCTACGCAATGGCATTCAATGTGTTAATACAATTTGTATTATAATTTCTAAAATATTCAAACAGGTGCTGTAGCCTTAGCCGAGTGCCTGGCAGATAACTGTCAGATGGTGCGACTGGATGTCCGGCAGAATGATATACGTACTGGAGGATTGATGGCGCTTGCACATGCTCTGCGTGTCAACAAGACGCTGCTACGCTTAGACCTTGATAGAGAAGTGAAGAAAGATTCGGTACGTATCAAATTTTGATCCGTTTTTTTGTCAATTGTTCAACTTTTTATTGTTTATGTTATTTGAAATAGACCTTGATAGAGAGTTGAAGAAAGATTTAATATGTATCAAATTTTGGTCCGGTTTTTTGTTAATTGTTTAACTTTTATTGTTTAGACGTTACTTTTTTTATACCTTGTTTAGTGAACCTGCCGACTGCAAATGTTGATGATTTTGAATAAAAATAAAATTTTATTTTTGGCCAATTAATGCACCTGCCACCTAGAAAAAGTGGAAATTTTTTTTTTCTTTATTTCCTCCGCTGCCTTGAAATCTCCAAAGATAAGTTATGAATATTCCTTCCTAATTTTATAAATTTGAAGCATTAACCATCCTATTTTACATTCACCAATAAAATTATATATTTATTTTCTCCTCTGTTTGGATGTTTTTGGCAAAACCATTTGCTAATTAAGAAAACAAAATTTTACTTTTATTTTTATTCAGCCCTCCTCAAATAATCTTGTATGCGAAACAAGGAATAAAAAAATTCTCGCCTTTTATTTTTTCATTTCATTTCTTTAGGCACAAGTGCCAAGGATATGCCAATAAATGAACTTAATCACTGTCCTACGTGGCATATCCACCTTGAGCACTTGCAGTAGATTTGTGCGCTTTATAAATCTTATTATTATCCATTTAACACCAGGGGACTTAATGGACCAGTACACCAGGGTAACCCCCTACTCTTCTCGAAGAATGTACTGGGTTCTTTAAAGTGCACACGAGCCAAATGCGTACACTGGGCCTACGGTTTAAAGTCCTTATCCGAGAAGACTTGTTCCACCACCGGAACCATTGGCGAGTGAGCCGTTCGAACCAGCGCCGAAATTAGAGCTGAAGGTTACGGTGCCCTTGACTTAACCGCTCGGCCAATGAACTCGCCAAATGTTATGTTATTTGAAATACCTAGAAAATCCTAGGAAGACAGTCTTATTTTTGTTTTTTGTATTTTTAGCATTTTTCTTTTGTAATGTAGATACAATTTGTGAAGACAATTAATGAAATGAAAGTATAGAAATATAGGATTTAGTTGATATTTCTAAATAATATGATAATATTTTTCATACAAATGTAACAAAACTATGAGTATTATAGTATGAGACAGAACATCATACTAATGGCCTCTCTTCAGGTGAACTTTAAAGTCCTATGTTAGATCATTAGAAATTATTGATTATGATAATCAGATGATTAATGAGGATATTTTTCATAAAACCAACTCATATTTGTGTAATTATATATCATCTCATTCACCTCCAAACTCTTGCCCGTTCAATGCCCTTGTCTCATCACAATTCTGTATTTTGGATTATTGAAAACGTGTTGAATTTACTTTCTTTCAAGTATTAACACTTTTATTGTTTTTTGAGGGGGGGGTGGGGAAATTTTAATTCAAACTTCAAAATTTTAATTCAAACAATGAATTGCATTTTAAAAGTATCCAATATGGTATCAATTTCAGGTTTCGGTGACTAAAAACTTTTATTATGAAAGTTTCTAATTACCAGTCAGTTAATACAGAGAACATTGTAATGCTATTATTATTTCATTTTCTTAGGGAAGTATTTTTTCATATTGATTTATAATAACTTATTAAAATCCATAAAGTAAGAAATTAAAATATGACAATTGTGAATTTGTTTACAGACTAAGGGATATGATGAAATTCAGAGAAGTTTACAACAGGAGATTGCGGTGTATCTGCATAGGAATCGGGAGAGCACAAGACAAGCTGAAGAACAAAGACAAGCATTGCTAGGGCAGCAAACAAAACCTGATGAAAATATCCCATCACCCAGTAGTGAGGCCCCTAGAACTGTTTCTATGGGAACCAACATTAATGGACACATATCAACATTTGTGCAAAATAGAGGAGTCAGTACAAATTCATCAGAGCCGTATGATGATAAAGAGTCTGACATGATTGAGAGGGAAATTACTGATGCAATAAATGATGTTGATTACGTGGGAAATACGAATAGAAAGAAAGATTCTAAGAAAATGGCAATGCATAGTCGGGAATGTGGGTCGGAGAATGTTGGCGACACATCACATATGTCTTCCTTCTACTCCCCTAACAGCAACCAAGATAGTAATCCTTTATTATCTCAGCTATCCACTGAGGTTGAGACAAATCAATCAATTAGGCATCCAGGAATGGATCCATTAGGAGTCATCCAACAATCTGTTGTTGGATCACCTCCAGGGATACGGATCACAGGTAACATCAAACTGTTAACACAGCCATCAGGCATCAAGGCACTTAAACGTGGAGAACAGGTAGCAAAGGGTGCTGTAAACTGTCAAAGTGCAGGTGCTTCATCAGGTAATCCAGGTGCTACACCAGGTAGTCCAGGTGTTCCACCAGATAAACCAGGTGCTTCAACATATAACCCAGGTGCACCACAAGATCAACCAGGTATTTCACCAGACAAACCATGTGTAACATCAGGAAAACCAGAGGGAGAACACAGTAAACCAGTTAACTTACTAGCTACCCAGAGTACAACATCAGGTAACCTGGCTGGTTTACTAGGTGATTCTCAAACTCGGCTGGAAGCAACAACAGATCCGCAGAACACAAAAGCAGAGGCTGGTGCCAAAGACAGTACTATAGAAAGCAGCAATACACGGTTGGTGGTAGATAAAACAAGTGCAATCAATTTAACACCTAACATTCCAGGTGGCAGTATAACTTTGGATACGCTGCCAAGTTGTACGACACCATGTGGAGACTTTGTTGATACAAATGCAGCCAATGTTTCAGACAAATGTAATGGAAACAGCAGCAGCTCATTAAAGCCATCTGCTAATGAACTGGAGAACTCTAAGATATTAACCCCAGGGCTTGGTGCAATGGAAATACCAAAGACTTCCCTGGGTAAGTTCATTTATTCATTCAAGTACAATAATGATTTATATAATAACAGTAGAGTTTGTAATTGGGATTGTCACAGATTTGACACTACCACTGTGTGACCCTTGTGTTATAGCGGTTTCAACAATTTCTAAACATTAAACCCCATTTTTAGCATTCAAAATTACATCATTTTAGTTATTTTTTCATTATTCATTTCAGTTGTGCATGATGGTGAGCGACTATCATCATCTCCGGATGATTTTGAGAAGGAATTGAGTCAGATGTTGGCCAATGCAAGGAGTGGGATGGACATCAGTTCCATTGTTTCAGCAGGTTTGTTACTTCGTATTCATAGCTTTTTAACATTTTATTTGTTATCAGTTTTATTTTTATTTATTTTATTTTATTCATTCTGGCAAAACAATTAACAATATAAAACATTACAAATACAAAAAAATCAGAAATCATCATATTTTACATCCTAGTTATTTTCGTCATCATCTTCGTCATCATCTGAATTATAAATGTCGTCATCAACAGCATCATATAATTATACATTTATTCATCATCATTAGTTTTATATTATTATACTGTATTTTATTATTTATATATTTTAAATATAAAATATATTTTATATAAAAAAAAAGAAATGGGAGTAGTACTGCTTTTTGTGTTTTTTTTTAATGAAATGTTTCACTGTTTGTTATTTTCTTTTTCTGCCGAGGACCAGGGATTTTATCCCTGAGCAGTCCCCCAGGATAAACAATAAATTAAATAAATAAATAAATAAATATGCAGTAATAATCAATTTTGTTTGCCAGATACAGTATGTGAAGATGATCAGTTATTTAATGATTGACCCAAGCAAGTTGTTGATGCCTGCAACAAGATCGAACCAGACCCTATCATGACTCCAAGATTGGTATTTGGAAATGTATCAGCACCTGGTAAATTCAGTCCAGCTGTAGCGTGAAGGGAATCTTTCAATCGAGAATTGTTTTGGTAATGATGGAATAGGATAATCACTATCATGACAATTAATGATATTTATTATTATTTTATATTATTATAGTTTCTTTGGGTATAGATATATGAATTTGACATGGTATATTGAGGTATGTTAGATGATGTACTAATTTGATCAATTGTAAGACTGTGGTAAAGTACATCCAAACTGACCAATCTGCTTTGTTCATAAATTCAAATTGACCAAATACGCCATGTTCAAAGAGACCAATCAAATTTCCTCATTACAAAGATGATTTAGTAAATAGGTCAATTTTACAGAGTGTGGTATAGTATCCCTAAGCTGACTAATCCACTCATCAATTCAATTGACCAATGGGGTTTGTTCCACAATTGATAAAGACCAGTCATGACTCATATTCTCTCAATACTCATTAATTTGTGAAAATGCTGACAATTTGTAACATTTTCTAATGTAGTTTCTTAGTCTTAATGGCTTTTTTATTGATTTTAATAATGCAATTATTCCTAAACGAGATATAGGCCTAATGAATGAATGTTAATTCATAAATCCCTAATTTATTGAAATAGATTCAGATATTTTTTTATCTTTTGAATTTTTGCAAGGACATATAGTAGCATGTTGTTATCTGACAATGAAAATATATATGAGAAATATATAAGCAATAGGAAAAGTCGGACAAATGGACAATTCAGCAGTAAATGATAAACAGCTCCATGTACCATGCACAGAGATATTGTGGGAGTGTTGCATGGCTCTGTGAAACTGTTTTCTGTGACGTGTGCTATCCTTATACAGATGCGGGGTACGCTTAATTTTCCTAGCATGTGTCCAGTGCAACAATTTGTCTCTATCGAGATATGAGACATTGCTGTTTGTGGGGGGGGGGGGGGG